AGAGCTGTTTGTTCTGGCATCTTATGTCTCTGATTGTGCCAAAGAAGCAGATGCTAGAAGTGGCCTCTGGAACTCCCTAGAGGCTTCACATGTCTTCATATGATTAAGACTGTATCATTAGGCAGACTAAGACCAACAAGACCATTTTTTACTCTAGGCCTCCTAAATACAGTAACTGACCCCATTGCGGGGTGTCACTCAGAGCACTGTGAAGCATCTGTCCTGGGGCTGACAGGAAAGCATACAAATATCATGAGCACAGTGAGAGCTTGGTTTCCTGTGGTTAGCAGAGATGTGCATACGTGTTTCATGGTAGAGGAGAAGTACTGCCTATCCTCTGTTTTTTCTGTATGTGTTTATTTATTTATTTATTTATTTTAAATACATTTTGGGTTCCTTGGGGTCCTTCTGTTTTTTGAATATTTATGGGGCCCTTGAGTCATGTTTTTCTCTGAAACCATGAGGTTTAGAAAAGATATTAAGATACTCCTACATTCATATGTAGTTCAATGAAATGGATACTACACTGAAAAACAGGAAATCCTGGGCACATCTATACACTGGGGCCAGTACTATCTTATGATGCAGTTACTTACTCCACCAAAAAGCACATGTAGACTGTAACAGGGGCTGGCTGGGGAACAAAGGTGCTAAAGTGTGGAGGCTTCCTGCTGCGCAACTGTACACTTTAGCGCACACATGCCGCAGCCAACCCCTCTGCCACCTGACACCACCACCTGGAGCCCAGGGCTGACCCCCAGAGGTTGTTGCCAGCCCAGAGCTGTTCTGGTCCAGCTCAAACTGCTACTGTCTCAGATGCATGTGCAGATGCTGTGCCCAGGAGCAGTTGAGTCCAGTGCAAACAGCTCCAGAGTTTATCATAACACATTCATTGCATATGTAGATGTGCCCCTGGGTATAAATTTCTCTACTGCCATCCTTCAGTCATTCAACAATGGCTCAGCTTTGAAAGGGGAGTAGATTTGTGGCCCTTTGTGCATGAGGGGGGTCTAGAAATTGAGTCTCCTGCTTTCTGGCTGAATGCCCCTAAATACCAGGTTATTGGCCCAGTCTTGGGGAAGTTCTCCTTCTCTGCAAGTCATGGATTCTACACTTGCCCAAGGATGCATATATACAACCACATATCTTCCCAGCCATTGTGCAGTCTACTTTGCATCTTCAATAGCATTGTGGATACCTGTGCCTCCATATTGCATATGGAATAGGATTGCAAACTGCATTAACTGGCAGTTACACAACTGGGTGCACAAAATTATGTAAAAATCTGTCTTGTGTGTCCAGTATCCTCAATAATAAATCTCCTTTGGGTTTCTTAAGTCCAATACCTGGCTCTTCTCAACCATGAGAAACTATTTTCCCAGTCCTATAAGACAGCTAATAATAATACTCACCTTTTTTCAGGAATCCACCTCAAAGTGCATGACAAAGGAGACCAGGACCTTTATGCCCATTCACAGCTGGGGAAAGTGAAGCACAGAGAAATTTAAGTAACTTTCTCAAAGTCATACATTTGCACTGTGGCAGAACCAGAAATAAATCTGTTTTCCTGATTCCCATCTGTGCTTGCTAGTCACTGGGACACATTACCCAGCTACTAACACTCTGAATTATATAAGTGATGAATCTGTATTCCTCTCTATCTCTTTCCTGACCTTATAGAACTTACAGATGGAAAAGCTCCCCCATCCAGAACATATTCTAATTCTTTGAAGACAGCATAGTTTTAAGTTAAATGAACCATTTACACACTGTAGCCTGGGGCTGGATTACTCCGATCTAGGCATTATGGGTGCCTATACATGTACTCCAACACGTTCTGATTTGAACATGTTGGAGCAGATTCAGGTCTGCTGGAGCTTTCTAATCAGAATGCTCCAGTGTGCTGCAGCATCTCATGTATTCAGCATCCCATGTTTCAAAATGGTGGTGGGAGCAATTTAAGTAAAGCAGGTCAAATGAAGTACATGTATAGGCACCCTATATCTACGCATCCTATTGTTGGCCATAAAACTATCCAGCCATTTCTTCAGTCCAGTCAGAGTGTTTAATCCAATGACTTCCTTCAACAGTTAACCACAGGCTAACTTTTTCAATAGACTCATCAATTAATCCAAAACCTCAGTAAGAGAGACCACTAAATAGTTATCAGTGCTGGCTCTGCATTTTAGGGTTGCTTAATCACTGAAGTGCTCAGTTTCTTAGAAGCACTTTCATAAGAAATACTTTGCTCATCTTCGTATCAAGTTACAGTAATTTGTAATTAATCACTTGTCTTTCCCTGGCTTTCTGCCTGAGTCTAGACAGCTTCTTTGGAAATAAACCCCACGTTTCTCTGAATAGTACAAGTTGATTTTTGTGTGAACAGCATAAGTCAGGCTTCTTGATAAGTTATCTGGAATCTTCTCAAAGGGAGCGCATTGGACTGAGCATCAGGAACATAAAATACTGCAGAAAGTGTCACCCAAGAAAGAATTAGTATTCTGTTAAGGTGATTGAATAGGCACATAGGGGAAAAAGGACTCCATTGCTATTTAGTCATTAGATAATGGTTCTGGGCTCCCAAATTTCATTTTTCTACTGCACAACATATTTCTTTTCTATCTCCCAGGACAGTTGAATTCTTGCCCATATAAGAACAGCAGAATTTTCTTCACTGGAACAGGTTGTGTAGATGCAGGAACATGATAACAAAGTGTCTGCCTCAAGCCTCATCGACCTACTGTAGGGGAAGGCAATTATTTCAGCTGTAGGGCCACTTACCAAGTTTTAGCAAGCTGTCGAGGGCTGCATAGGTAGCCTCACCCTTGACAGGTGCCCTGCCCTCTGGTCACCATCTTGGGACCAGAGGTCTCATCCATTAACCCCTGACCTTTGCCACCAGAAGTCCCTCCCCTTGTCCCCAAAAATACTCCTTTTGGCCAAGAGGTTTGCAATCTCAGAACCAGAAAAATACCAAACTATAGTCTAAAAATCAAACATCTACTACAACATTCATTAATTTGATTTCAAAAATATTTTTGTCCTGATTTACTTGTGTTTGCATACTGTACATAGAGGTGATTGTATAACGGCATACTGTACATAGAGGTGATTGTATAATGGCTTAAAATGAAGTTTTACTCTGGTCTATTGTGGGGGAAGTGTGGGGGATATGGGTGGCTGGATATAGGTTTGTGGGAGGCTGTGGGTGTGTGGATATGCATGTATGTGGGGTGTGGAGGAGGGTGTGTGGAGGACTTGTGGGGGGATGGATAGGTGTGGGGGTGTGGGGGTGTATGGAGTTTAGGGGGTGTGGGTGTGTGTGTATGTGAGATGGTGGAGCAGGTGGGTGTGAAAATGTGGGGTGTGGGTGGGTATGGAGTTTATGGGGGGCTGTGAGTGTGTGGGGGGAGGGTGGCTGGGGAGGATTGTGTCATGTGTGGAGGGGGTGTATGAGCTGGTG